AGGGCACACTGCTGGCTCATGGTCAACCTGTCGTCCACCAGGACTCCCAGGTCCCTCTCTGCAGAGCTGCTCACCAAGCAGGTCCACCCTTGTTGGAGGAAATATGGGAACAACAGCAAAAGGGAGAGAAAACCAAGAGCAGTTGTGCTATGGTCAAGAACCGGAAACCCTCGTGTCTTCACGTGCTCCATACATCCATTAAAACAGACGGCTGCACCACCTCCATAGATCCTCATTATCCTCTTTGGTCTCCCCGCTCCACGCGACCCTACCCTGCATCCCCTCCTCTCCCTCTCTGCCCTCCGCTCCTCCGCCATTATCCTTCCTCTTCCTCCCCCCCGGCGATGGGGAGCAGTTACACACCTGGACTACAATTAGCTGGCTTTACGGTGAGGGCTTTACGAGGCCATATGCATTAGTGAAGAAATATTTATTTACCCAAAAAGGCCTCTGATAGTTTTGTGGCCGCTACTAAATTGATGGAGTGCAGCAATTATAATCAACAACCTATATGGAACCATAAAATATGGTTATGCTGGCCTCCGTGGCCTCTGTGCCCCGCCCTTGCATAGGGGCAATGCATGGCAGCAGGATCTGGCCACGCTGCAGGGAGATGCAGCAAGTGGGCTCTTGTCCTTTGTAAATGGGGGAAGAATCAAACCAGGCCCCCACATTCCCCAAACAGGGTTCTCAGACATCGTGTTTGGATGCCCTGGGGCTTGCAGAGCTGCCGGGGGGCAGGGGGGTGGGGCAGAGCGTGGCCACCACCGTCCCCGGGGCTCAGCAGGGCACTGGCGTTGCACCGCGGTCCCCAAAGGGGACCCAGAATGGGCTGTGGTCCCCCTGTGGGGGTTCAGCCTCCCGTGTCATTTCTCACCCAAAAAGGGGACTGGGGATGGTGCAGCAACCACTCAAGGTCATCTCTGGAGGAGACCAGGAGGGACATCGGGGACTGGTCCTCCTCCCCAAAGTACCTTGTCCTTACAGTGATTAACAGCATTTGATTACGCTGTTAAGGACCTCGCCACGATCCCGTCGCGCTGGCGCTTCCCAGAACCTTTCTAGAGCCAACACGCAGAGCAACACACGGACCACGACATGGCCTCCGCACGGCTCCGCACTGGGAATCGAAATCGGCTCCCAGCTGCTTTGCAAGTTTGCCGGCAAGCAATTCGGGAGGAGGCACGAAAGCCTCGCAGCAGGGCACTGCTGGTGCAGAACAGCCACCAAAGCAGAACCGCTTGCGGGGGCCCCCAGGACTCGGGAGGGACAAGGCAGGAGCATCCTTGTCCCCAAAAGGGGCATCTGGGGCAAAAGCTGTGCACCTCGGAGGCGGGGGAAGGCTGCAATGAAGCCATCTGTGCATCTCCCAGTTCATAAATCCCTTTACAGCTCTGTCTCATACACTTTAACTGCCCCATAAATTTTTTTACAAGAGCAGCTGATGCTCCAGCCAGGATTACAAAGGGATTTACAGGATCGTAACCGAGACTGACTCACTGATCAAAATATTGAAGAAATAAAGGAGACAATAACGCTGAAGTCTCCTGCCCACTGTCAACACAGGCTGGCTTTCAAACACCCTCTGATGTGCCGCAGGGTCTGCCCGTGGGCTCAGTAAACACCAGGTTCAGCTCCCCCCTAATCCCCATCCATCCAAACGAGCGGGATTAGGGCACCTAAACCCATTCCTCATCTCTGCAAACCTCAGCCGCCGGCTGATCATCGCCACGCCGGTGAAAGCAGGATGAAACGCCGGGTACCGGAGCACAGCATCAAAGGCAACCTGTGCTGAGCCGGCCTGCAAAGAGAGCTCTGTGCCCTTAAAATCCCCCCGACACTCCTAGAAACTGGATTAGGCCACTTATCACTACTGTAGACGCTGGCAAATTTTTTGTCACTCTTCGAAAGCAGAATCGCTCTGCGCCACGACCCTGACTCCAGCATTAGATTCCTTCCGACATCGTTTTTCCTTGGGAATAAATATCATCGGGACACAGCAAAGCCCGTGCGTGCCGAATCGCCGCCACTTCAACAAAACCGGCGGGTGATCCCCGGGGGGGCCGGCGGAGCTGCGCCGGGGAGGCTGCAATCGCCGCGCTGCTAAACACGGGTGATTTGTTCTGGCGGACGCGCTCGTTACTCCATTAGTCACTCGACACAAATTTCCCACCTGTTTTGCTCCAGCGTCTGCAGCAATCGAGCGCCTTGAGGATAATTAACCTTGGAAGGGTTTTGCTGCGCGTCTGGGAGCCCCGGCACCCCCAGCTTTCGGGCACTGACCCTCACACCGCCCAGCTTTGAAAACCAAACACCGACACCCGCTTCGTTGTTTTCCCACCTGCTTTGAACACTCTGGGTTTTGGGGTGCTTGGGGTGCACGCGGGGTGGGGAATGTACAAAACAGGGAGAAAACGGGGAAAATGATCCACCTGCAGCCTCACACGGGTTTAGCCATCAAGCATCAAACAAGTCTTCCCCCGCCACCCACAGTGCAGAAACGCAAAGAAAAGAGGGAGGAGAAGCACAGGTCCCTTGTATTTCAGTATCACCCGGCGATGTTTGGAAAACAGTTCATCGTTTGTCAGCCATCCCATTTTCTCTGCCAGGCTGATCGCTCCATCTCCATCCCTCCCCTCCGCTCACCCATCCTGCTCCCTCCCTCCCCGGCCGTCCTTCACCCATCCCTGCATCCCGCTGCCATCCCTTTTCCCCAAGCAGGTGCCCAGGACCCAGGGATGTTCCTTCCCCCAAGGCAGCAAAATGCACCTGGGAGGCACCTCTAGGAGAGTGTAAATGGGATTTACGTCCCCTGGGGATGGGGCACAGAGCCTACAGGCACCGGATGGCAAATCCTCACCCCCTGGAGCTCCTGTTTTGCTGGTTTATTGCCATTTGCACCGGTCACAACAGCCCACTGGTTGCTTCACCAGGAGCTGGTGGAGCACCTGAGCACAGGTTACACACAACAGACGCCTCGAATTTATCCTGGTGCACAGGCCCACCAACCGCAAAGGTGTCTCAGGAAAGGGCCCGTCAAGCTCAGGCTCCTCCAGTTGTTTGCCAAGCGGATCAGCAGCCCGAAGCCAGTTGAACCTTCCCAGTCACTGGCCGCACACCCATCCTGGAGCAGGGTGCAGGGCAAGCATCAGCCAGCCACCAGTCCCCGCTCCCAAAATCCACAGTCCCTTTAGCGGTCAGAGCAGCCCAGCACCAATCCTGGCCCGGGCAGAGCCTGTGGCAGGAGATCAGCAGCTCATTATCCCTCCGCACACCACCTCTCTCCTTCCCTTCCTCCTTCGGGAGTCTTCACAGCATCCTCTCCCCGTGCTTTGTCCCCCTCCAACCCTCTTGCCTCTTACATCCCTCCTTTCCCCCAGACCCACCCCCGTTGCTCTTCTTTTCCCACCCATGACGCTGCACCACTGCAAAACCCCCAGCACCAGCCTGACACACAGCTGTAGACATCTCTACTCCCACCCTGAAGTCCTCCCCATCTGCCCCACGGGCCTTTCATCCCCGCCCCGCGCACATTTGAAGGTGGAGGAGCGGGGCACATGCCGGGTGCAGGTTCAGGAGTGTTTCCCCTTCCCCCTCTTCCTCGCTCACCTCGCCCGGTGCTGTAGTGCTGTAATTTATCGCTGTACACCGCCTCCTTGCTGTAGGCGCGCTTCCTGGGAGAAAAGGGGAGAAAACAGCTTGGCTTGAGGGATGAGCGGCTGGTGATGGCCCCGAACCGCTCCCCTGCCAGCAACACTCGGTGAGTGGTGGCAGCTCGGCGCTGT